TTCACAAGATTGCAATTGCAAAGTAATGTGTATTTCCACCATTATGCTTAAATGATATCAAGTAGCATAGATTTCAAAGTTTGTGAAGTTTACACCACATAATTCCTATTTTAACCACATAATTCCTAGTTTAAAAGAAAACATAAGTAGATATGTGTACGATCCAGATTGGATTGGTTTCACCCTAAAACTAGAACAAACCAGTTAAAACATAACGATTTGATTTGGTTCAGTTTTGACCAAAAATACTAAGAATAGAGAACCAAAACAAAATGGTAAACCCAACAATAACAAAAATTCAACAAATCATTACATACTTTTCTTATTGCACATCAAATCATTCTAAAATCCATCATCAAAGTTTAAAGTTTAACAACTAAAATAATTACAAGTCAAAGATCTTTAATGTTCAATTAACCTTCAAATTCATCGTTCTTGCATAGTTATTAAACAGTAAAAAAGACAATTAGCAGAATTGATCACTTTTTGATATTTTGTTGCAAAAAGGATTCAGGTGTCATTGTGTCATTGTTGTGTGATCGTTATGTTATTGTTGTGTCGTCATTCTATGATCAATATGTGATCGTTAATTACAAATAATCATTTATGCATGTCAAAAAGTGATCATACCTGCTAGTTGCCCATAAAAAGATACTGTATAAAATAAAATCGTTTAAATACCATTTCGTAAGTGGTCAATCTGTAATCAAACCAATTCATTCAATTCATCTTTTAAACACTTTGACTTTTTCTTTCGTGAAAAACAAAGCAAACCGGTCACTATCGTCCGGATCGGTCGGTCTGATTAGTTCGGCCATATTGATGCCCACCCTAGAAGGAATTGGATGAAAATCGTGTAGGAATGAAAAAAATGGTACAATAGTCAGAGTTGGGCCATAAGAAGGGAGAAGGGTAAGAGCCCACGAATCAGTTCAGTTTGGTCCATAATAATTTGTGATAGAAAGTTCACTTTGTATTTTAATAATTTATTATTTAGTGTTAACTACAAGAAAATATATTTTTAAGCCCAGGAACTATTTGGCACTGAAAAATAGTCGTATTCTAATTACTATAAGAAAACCAAGGTTGCCACTATTACGGTATAATGATATTCCTTTTTATTTATATGAGAAATCTTAGTTCGATTCTCGTCAAAGTCGAATTTGAACCACATTATTGCTAGCCTATTGTGAGACTAAATCTATTCCTCCCCCCTCAGTGTAGATAAGATAATATCATTTGTTTTTAAAAGAAAAAAAACCAAGATTAGGCACCAATACTTAATAACAATTTAATTGACAAAAAAAATATATATATATTATTAATCTTCCAAAAATCTAATTTTGTACTCCATATATTTTATATTAAAAAAAATCTCTTACGAGCAATTGACAAATAAAATTTTGAATTACCAAAAATAATTTCCAAAAAATAAAATAAATTAGTGCATAGCGAGTATTTTGAAGTGCTTACAATGGGTTGTACACTCATAGTGATTGTCACATGCAAGATAAAGGGGTTGAATTAATATTAAGATCAGGCCCAACCCATTATCTTTGTGCAGGCCCATTTCAAATTGGAATCTTCTTCTTCTCCTCTGTTATCTCTGGCCCCACTAAACCTGTGCCCTTTTAACTTTTGTTACCACATGATAATGGTCCCACTGGTCGTACAACGATAACGGCCATCTTCACTCCACTCCAATAAAAGTAAGAGTTAAAAATCTCTAGGCAAGATTAGATAATTTCGTTTCATTAGTTTAATTACTTTGCTCAAAATAGTCCTAACAAAAAAGTCCTTTCTAACACTATTTTGTTATGTATTTCAACAATTCGAATCGTCTATTTTTTTCATATTATCATTTAAAGATCATTTTTGTAAAAGATTATCCGACTCCAACAATATTTAATCATTAAAACATGCAAAAATCTGTAATCAATTAAATAAAGTTTATATGGTATGTACAATACAATGACTAAACAATTAGGGCTAACTAATTTTTACGTAGATAATTTTTCAAAGAGAATTTAGATACTGAATGGTTTAGAATGTTAAATGACACTAAAAAAGAATAATGTTTTTAAGAAAGTCAATAATGTAGAAAAAATGTAGTCATATCTTAATAGTTTGCAAAAAACTTATAATCTTTTGAGGTAGTGGCGGAGCCATGAAAGGACCAGGATAGTCTCAGGCCCATCATGACATTTTTTCAGTCATAAAAATTTAGTGTTATGCTTATGATTTTCAAGGTTTTTGTAGGCTCAGGCCCAATTCCAACATTTTTACTTTAATTTATTTCTGTTTGATTTGAGGTTGATAGCTCCTATGTAGTTTAGGCACTGAGTTGGTTGTGAGTTTTGAGGAGGACTTTAGTCTGGGGATCAGTGGAGGAGAGGAGAAGAAAGTTAGAGAGGCTTGGGGTTTAGGTATAAGAAGAAGATGATGAGATGACATCATATCAAACCCGAACAACGTTGGTCAGTTACTCATTACATGATAGAGTAATTTTGGTAAGTTTAAAAAAGCGTTTCAGATTGAGACATTTAGACTCTTCCTAGGCTGAAATTCTAACTCCCTGCCCCTGCTTTGAGATATCATATACCGTGAGTTTTTAGCCGATGAATTTTAATCATTTAATTCTTAACCAAAAGTTTAACTTCAAAATATATAATACTCGGGAGAATGCTATAATACATTCCACGTTCAAGGCAAATAAAGACAAACATGTAAAATTATGGAGAGTGAATCTGCAGAGGGGGCAGACGGGGCAGAGGGACAACTCTGTTAGTTGGGTCTTGGACTCTTGGCCCACACGTCTAAATATGCCCATAGGTCGAAGGACAATTCTACCCCTGTGTTAATTTTTGGCTTGCTTTGACTCTAAGCCAAAATAGTCTGCTTCCGTAGTCTTACTGGGCAGTTTGGTCTTTTCACTACAAAAGCACCATTTCGCTTTTTTTCTACAACACTACCAACTCCAACAAGTAGTGTAGGAAGGAAAACCAGAGAGAGAGAGAGTTGAAGGATCTTCAACTGCTACAATGTTGAAGAAGAAGATGGTGTTCTTCTTTCATCTTCTATTTCTCCTTTCTTTTGGTGTTTCTGGTAAGAAAAAGGTTCAACCAAGTTCAAATAAATCTCACTTTTTGTTATTAAAGTTCTTGGTTTTTTATCTTTTATTTTTCTGAAAATTTTCTGGGTCTTTATTTTCTGTGCAGGTGAAGGGCAAGACTCCATTGTTTCTGTACAATCTGCAGATCTCAGTGAGGTTGCAAGCAGCATTTTAAAGGCAGAAACTTGGCTCAAAACCCACGTCCTTGCTCACTACCCTTCCACCCCCATCACCGCCATTGTCGTCGGCGGCGTTGGCGGCGTCCCTCTTCTTCTCTGCCGGAAAGAGCAAGAACACACTCTCACTCTCATCCTCCCGGCCGTCAAGAACTTGCACCACTCCCTCACACGGTGGGGCCTCCAGGAACACATCAAACTCTCACCCGCCTTCGCTCCTTCTTGTTTCGACAGAAGCTCCGATATCTTTGGGAAATTTGTGAGGCCTGTCCTAGATTTTCTCAAGGGAGCATCTCAAACTGTCTCTCCAACGTTGGTGTCTTCTCACTCCGAAAGCCTTGAAGACTTTATGGGCGTTAGCTTTAACTTTGACGATTATACTGTCCTTCTTGACAACTCCGGAGAGAGAAAACCCAGTGGCAGAAAGCTCTCTGCGGACCCCTTTCCAGCGAGACCGACGCCATTGCCTAAAGTTTCAGAAACCCCACTTCACTCCACTGTTGGTCTCTCTGTTCCCGCCAATGTGGCTAAAAATCCTCATCCTCCACTGCCCCAAACTGCCTCTCCGCCGCTCCAAGTTCCTTCCCCACAACCCCGAAGCGCCGCCTCTCCGCCACCACTCCTACTGCCTTCCCCAGAGGCACAAAAAGCCTCTCCACCACCACTCCAAATAGCTTCTCCACCAGATACGGGGTTCTCCTCAGCCCCAGAAAGCCCTCCTTTTGTTGATGATTCCCCTCCGCCGTCCCCTGCCACATTTCCACCCTGCAGGCCGACACACGTGCCGCCTCCTACCCCAGCCCCTCAGACTGCAGTGCACAACAAGCTGTGGTGTGTGGCCAAGCCAACAGTTCCTTCAGACACTCTGCAGGTGGCAATGGACTACGCCTGCGGAGACGGCGGTGCTGACTGCTCGGAGATCATGCCGGACGGCAACTGCTACAGCCCCGATTCTGTTGTGGCACATGCTTCCTACGCCTTCAACAGCTACTGGCAGAAGAACAAGAAGACCGGAGGGACTTGCAGCTTCGATGGCACTGCAATGTTGATTAACAATGATCCAAGTAAAAAAGCCTCTTCATCTCCCAATTTTGATTAGTCTGTAAATGTTCCTCTTTTGCAAGCTTGCTGATAGGGAGTGTTATCTTTTCGATTGCAGGTTATCTTCAGTGTCGATTCATTCTCACCTGAATGCAGTCGGAGCGGAAACTGAGACTGGTAGCTCTTCTTCTACGATGGGAAATCAGATTCTGAGGTGACCTTGTAGTTTTTCAGCCATTAGTTTATGTTACTAGTTTAATTTAGTATAGCATTATTTAGTTCCAAGTAATATCTGGTTTCTTTTGATATGTAATCCTGCTCCTCTTGCTATAACCGGAGAGATTCAGCTTACCCGTCCAAACATCGAACTTTTGGTTTTCTGAACGATATGTTTGTCGCATGATCTTGCAAAACCGCAACATAAAATACCGCAAGCACTGACTCGAAGCTAGAGTCGTGTGCGGTCAAAGAACACGGCAGATAAAAGGAAGAGCTCAATCAAAACTTAACCTCCCAATGTAATAAGCAGCCTGGAAGCACATTGAATAAAAGTGGTGCTGCTGTAAGATAAGAGTATATCATCGCATCAAACAAATGATCTAAACAAGAAAGTGTAACTCTACAACAGATGCAGAATCCAGCATCATCGGCGTGATGCAAAAAATTTCGGATCTTGAAACCGAATGCGGCATTTATCTCATAGCATTCACGCTCTGCAACTATTTGATCCGTTTGACAACATAACGTTGATCGAAACTTGGCTTAAGTAGTAAAAGGAGGTTCAATATTCAGTACTACATACACATTCATTCGACAATGTGAAAGCAGAAATTGAAGTCATCAACATTCGTCGTCGTTAGTTGTACCGGCTAGTGCTGCGGAACTTCCAATTTCACCATCATCTGAAACTTTACCACAACCTTCATTCTGCAAAAACGCACACAATCAGACAAACGGAAACATAATAAATAACTACATGAAGTAACAGCCAGGATTAAAACAACAAGTATCCACTCACTTGAGGAAAGATCATCAACGGAAAAGATTAATGTTAACCTTACATGCTGACTATATTGGTACTTTATTTCAATGCAATCTTATAATCCCCAAAGGAAATACTAGCCCTTGCCACACGCCTAGACCCCCCATTCCCACTACGTGGATTTTTTTTTTGGGTGAATTTTTTGTTTCTTTTTGACATCCTAATGGGATAAGAGTAATTTGGATACAACCCAACCTTCACCGTTTATATATATATATATATAAAACAAAATATACAAACAACTCAGATCATTTAAAATAGTTGGTCCAGATTCCAGAACTACGCAACATATGTAAGCAGAAGTATAGGACGACAGAATTAAGAAAGAACTGTACCTTTTTAACTTTACCATGAGCTGACATTATCTCATAAAACTTACGCATCAGCATTTCTTCTTCGACCTGCAGATTGTACAGCAATCTAAATTAGATTGTTTTTATACTCGGCACATATGAACAAGCAGGCATATTTTAATTCAGAGTGTTTTAGAATTGGTAGAATGAAAAACAACCTTCAGTTGGTGCAATTCCTCAGACATTGATATTTTAGCTTCCGTAAGGAGCTCATTTTGCTTCTCCAAATGCCTATACACAGAAAATAAACCAAAATAAACTTACAAAAAACAAAAGTTATACATATCAAAATTAAATTTCATGTAAAGAAAAGAGCGCAGGTTCCAAATGAATGAAAACGCGACCGAATTGGCCCTAGCTATGCTTCCGAACGGAGTGGAAGAAGGGAAGAGTATCTTGAACTAGGAAAAGGATCCAATTGACTTCAAAAGAATTGAACAAGGAGCCGTATGAGGTGAAATCTCATGTATGATTGAAAGACTTACTTCAAAATCTCTCCGGTGTATCTAGGGTCCATGTTAATAATCTGTAATTCGTAATCCTAGATGTTGATGTGAGCTTAAGACAAAGATTGAGAATTTAGGGACCTTTGGCTGGGTCTGTCTGGTGTTGTTTTGGACTGGGTCAAGATAATTTGGCTCTGTCCTGCAAATACCAATTAAGCAAAGAAAGGAAATCAGAGACAGATTCAAATGGAACTCGAACATAAAATCCAGCACTAAGTTACTAACAGAAAATACTAAACTATAACACCATCACACAAGCTGACGGTATGACTTAAAGAACTATGATGAATTTACAACCCAAATCTACACAATAAAGCAAATGTACCACAAAAGAGCTGACACTAGGGTTCATGTTCAAATTTTGAAATCCTAGTTGCTAATGGGTGCACAGGACAAGGAGTGAAATTAGGCTCCTTTAGGTACACCAGACCGGTCTCGATCATAATCTTGTATTGAACTGAATTGATATATTTTTAGGTTGTCCGGTAAACACCAATTAATTACAGAAGAAACAAGAAATCAAGAGCTATCCACGCATGCGATCAAATTGTCACTGAGAAACAAAGAGTTTCTGTTACTGTTGAATCAGTTAATCTGAGAAACCAAGCAGGAACAGAGCAAGCCTACGAGGTACAGAAAGATGCAAAACAAAATGATCAAAGAAAAGAAACCATACAGTACCGTTCACCAATACGAAAGTGTGTTCCGTATCTCATGTGATTTAAGTGTCTAATGCCAAAGCTGGGAGAAACAAAAGAAGAGAATACTGCCAGACGGTGTTCAATATCCGATACCAATTTTTTAGCCATTTGATCTGTGTATCAGCCTGCACATTTTAAATTCAAATGAAAATTGCTAGTGCTAAGTGCTAATGGTATGCTACCGTACGTCCTGGCTCGCTATTGACTTACCATGAAGAATCATGACGGTAAAGGTCACCTAGATGGTAGAAGATATAGAAATTCATGAGCTGCCAGAATATAAGCAGGAGTAAATAAGTCCTCTACTTGAAGATGTAGAGTTTGACCCGGAATATTTTCGGTCCATATTTAGCGGGGAAATGTTGCTCGGTCCATGATTAAGCTGAAGGGACTGTCAAAAAAATTCGCCTACTTCAATTTTACAGTTACACATTTCCTAATGCTTTGTTTGAAACCAAATGCAATCTCAATTCCCAGAACTATTTCATCCAATAAAACATTACAAATTCAATCACAAGTTCATATCAAATGCTAACACCAATTCAAGATTAGCTAGAAAGTTTCAGTTCATATCCAAAGTTTTTAGGATTTAAACAGCACGAGATCATCAAAGTTATAAAATTGCATGCGTTGATGAAGAAAACAATGGAAACTTAGCACAATTTTGAAGGTTTTATGTAAACCCTAAACCCTAACAAGTATGATATCAGGATCCGAAAATCTAAAATTTAAAAAAAAAAAAAATCAGAATTTGCTTAACGACTAAAGGTATTAAAATAATCACAGGAATTAAAAAATATCATCAAATCTGAAACTTACCAGCAGATGGGCAAATGCGCCTCGACGGCGGCTCAAGAGTATCGACGCAACCGCGGAAGGAATTCGACGACTGGGAGGGGAACGCTTGACGTTTGAGGAGGTATTGGGCCTTACAAGTCAGGGCCTTGTCTTTCTTTCTCCAAGTTAACTGAAAAAGAGGGCCCATATTATTGAGGTGTACAACCCGGCCCAAACCTCGCATGAGCACGAGGAATTATAATCTAGTACATGAATACCACGTGGATTCTGATGGTTTGTGGTTGATTGCACACATATGACATGTTTATACGTATTGATAATTAAGAATAAAAGTTTTGCACTCTGATAATGGTGGAGAGTATGTAAATCATGATTTTGAATACTAATTTGAGGCTCATGACATTCTACTTGAGACGACTTGCCCTTAGACATTCCAATAAAATGGTGTGGTAGAGGGTACAATTCGACATATTCTTGAAATCGCACGTGCTTTACTTATTGGATCACATGCTCCTCGTAGTTGTTATTGTTTTTTTTGTTGAATCGATTGCCCTCTAAGGTCTTGAATTTTCAAACTCCATTGAAGACTATCTACGTATGGCCCCTTGCCATATGCTTTAATGCTTTCTTTACAAACAGTTCAGATTGTTGATATCAGGTTCCGGTTAACTGAAATATGAGTCGATATTATATAGCTTTTATAAACACTTTATAAACTCCGAGCAATATTTTCATTAATCATAAAAATTTGAACGTGATGTCAACGATCCAAACAATTCATCTTTTTGAATCCACTAAAAGATCATGTTTTCAAAAATGAAGATATGAAAAAATGAAATCTAGTGAGAAGAATAGAGTATAAACGTAAAATCGACAATTAAATATAAATCTAGGATTTATAGATTATAATGTCGAATTTCGGAGTTGACCTCTTCATGAAAGTTGTAGAGCTTGTCATTAGGAGTATTTGTGTGTGTATTTTTTTTTATATACATTTTTCACAGTTGTACATTAATTATTATGAATTTTTATTAAGTTGCACTCAGTCAAAAATCATTATTCATAAATGTTTGGAGGGCTTTAATTAAAAATCGAAACGACGGTGTAACCATCTCCAAGCGTAAATGATGTAATCACGAGTGTTTGTATATTTTTCACATTTTTCACACGTGTAAATTAATTATTATGAATTTTCATTTATTCTTAACTCCCCTAAAAACACTATTCACGAAGGTTTCAAGGTTTCAAAATCCAAACAGCTATATACCCATCGTCAAAGTGTAGAGGATGTGATCACGAGCATTTGCATATCTTTTGACATTTTCACACTTGTAAATTAATTATTCTTTTAATGAGCTTTTGTATTTGTACGAAAAATAAAATTATGTTAAAATTCATAATAACTAATTTATAAGTTCGAAAAAATGTGAAATAAATATGTAAATGCTCGTGATCGTATCTTTTACGCTTTGACGATGGGTAAATTGTTGTTTAAATTTTCAAACCCTTATTTTTTAGGTGGAGTTGAAAATGTATAATAATTCATAATAAAAAGTGAAAAAACAATGTTAATACTTGTGACCACATTCTCTACGTTTTGACGATGGTTACATCATCATTTGGACTTTTAGGATTAGGGTTTCAAGGCTTGGGGTATGTGGATACTAATTTAGTGACAACGTGATATGTAGATACTAATTTAGGATGACATTTTACATTGCGTTTTCGTGGTTGATTGCACACATATGACATGTTTATACGTATTGATAATTAAGAATAAAAGCCTTGCATTCTGATAATGGTGGAGAGTATGTAAATCACAATTTTGAACATTAGTTTGAGGCTCATGACATTCTATATGAGACGACTTGCCCTCATACATTCCAACAAAATGGTGTGGTCAAGGGTACAATTCGACGTATTCTTGAAACTGCATGTGCTTTACTTATTGGATCACATGCTCCTCGTAGTTATTGGAATAATATTGTTGTTATTATTGTTTTTTTGTTGAATCAAATGCCCTCTAAGGTCTTGAAGTTCCAGACTCCATTGAAGACTATCTACTTATGGCCCTTGCCATATGCTTTAATGCTTCCTTTACGAACAATTCAGATTGTTAATATCAAGTTCCGATATTTATGGTTAACTGAAATATGAGTCAATGTTATATAATTTCTATAAATCTTATAAACTTCGAGCAATATTTTCGTTGATTGTAAAAATTTGAACGTGATGTCAACGATCCAAATAATTCATCTTTTTGAATCAACTAAAAGATCATGTTTTCAAAAATAAATATGAAAAAACAAAATCTAGTGAGAAGAATGGAGTATAAACGTAAAATATACGATTAAATATAAATCTAGAATTTATAGATTATAATGTCGAATTATGGAGTTGACCCCTCGACGAAAGTTGTAGAGCTTGTCATTAGGAGTATTGTGTGTGTATACCTATATATATATTATACATTTTTCACACTTGTACATTAATTATTATGAATTTTTATTAATTTGCACTCAGACAAAAAGCACTATTCATGAGGTTTGGAGGGCTTTAATTAAAAATCGAAACGACGGTGTAACCATCTTCAAGCGTAAATGATGTAATCACGAGTGTTTGTATATTTTTCACATTTTTCATACTGTAAATTAATTATTATGAATTTTCATTTATTTTGAACTCCCTTAAAAACACTGTTCATGAGGGTTTGAAGGTTTCAAAAATCCAAACAACTCTATACCCATAGTCAAAGCGTAGAGGATGTGATCACGAGCGTTTGCATATCTTTTGACATTTTCACACTTATAAATTAATTATTCTTTTAATGTGCTTTTATATTTTGTAGGAAAAATAAAATTACATTAAAATTCATAATAACTAATTTATAAGTGCAAAAAATGTGAAACAAATATGCAAACGCTCGTGATCGCATCCTTCACGCTTTGACGATGGGTACATTGTTGTTTTAATTTTCAAACCCTCCAAACCCTATTTTTTAGGTGGAGTTGAAAATGTATAATAATTCATAATAAAAAATGAAAAAGCTGTGTTGATACTTGTGATCTCATTCTCTACGCTTTGACAATGGTTACATTGTTGTTTAGGTTTTTAGGATTAGGGTTTTAAGGTTTGGGGTGTGTGGATACTATTTTAGTGCAACGTGGTATGTAGATACTAATTTAGAATGACGGTTTTCATTTGATTATTTATTAAAGTAAAATATAATTTCTTTAACGGGTAACATGTTGAGTCATATTACTCGTTAATTTCAATGGATCAAGTTCGAATCAGGTCACATTACCTGTTCAATAAGTTTGGCATGACACAATCCATTAAAAAATAATTACAATTTTCCCAGAAATTGGGCCTCCTCTTCCCGCCTCTTCGCCTTCGACTCTAGAACGAATTTTCATATTTTAAAAAATAATTATAATTTTCCAATTTTATAAAAAACTTAACAAAATTGAAAAAAGCCGAACTAAACTAAGACTGAACTGAACCGAATGGAATCGAACTCACTCCTATGCAACACTTCAGAAAGGTTGTATCCTTTCTTGAAGAAACAGAAGTTGCATCTCTTCAAAATAAAAACAAAAGTCACCGTTTAGTTTTACAGTCTAGTGATATTCCATTTTACTTGGGAGTGAGGGATCTCAGATTCGAATCTTATGAATAGAGAGCTTGATACCAATTTATTCTCCACACCTCTTAGTGTAAATATATCATTATCACAACTCATATAAACAATTTTATTCAAATAAATAATTTAATTCGTAAATGAATTAACAGGTTAAGTTATGGAAAAACAGGGTGACAAAAGAAGCACCAAGATGGAACGATGTTGCGAATTTCTTAGATGTTTACTTTTATGGACTTGAGTTTGAGTTGGCCTCTAAGCAATGCGGGCAAACTGCCATACTACCAAAACGGAATACATAAAAATTGAACTTGGTTTTGTGTACTTTATTTATGGAACAAAACCATGGTCATGAACTCATGATTTTGGTAAGTACTTTGGCAGCTGGCACTCGGCAAAAAGCTATAAAGCTGAAAAACGAAAGCCTAACTTTCAGGATTTGGACCACACAACCAAGTTCCACGCAACAAAGTATCTTTAACTCTTAATTAAGGTTAATGTAAAGAAACCAAGTAATTAACAATACAGAAATCATGTTGTAGGACATGCTTGTTTTAGTTTTGAGTTCATGGGCTCAATAGCAGCTGCTCATGGAGTGTTCAGTAGACCAAAAACTTGAATGCTTACAACCAAAAGAGAAAAAATTTGACGTTTGGGGCATTGACATGCACACTGTATTAAATTAATATTAAGCCAACCGTTATTCCAACTTAATTACTGCTAGACAACAATAATTCTAAATTTTAAGTTGTTAGGGAATAAATCAACAATGTATATCAAATTACTACTACACTTTCATCATGCACGTAAAAACTGGACAATCGAAAGATAAACATATAGATGCAGCCTCACTACGCATCGTACGTGCAAACCAACAAGAAGTTGGTGTAATAGGACATGTCATCTTGGAAACATGGCTTGGATCGGATAACATGTTAAACAAGTTCCAAAAACTTAGGATTATAAGTTACTAAGCCAAACGATAGCCTCTAGGCCAACAGGCGAGCCATAGGAATGAATAATATTGTGCCCAAACTCAACCTAGAAATGATGGAAATAATCATTTCATGCTTTTGACTTGCTAATGAAATATAGAAGTAGTACTTCCTAAAGGATGTGCTCAACACAGTGGACACCTCCTAAACTTAAAATTAATTAACAAATGCATGAAATCCAACTGGGAAAGATTCTAAAGTTTTTTTAGGGTTATCAACACCAGACTAGTTGGCAGTGAATTTAACTTATCATTTTCTAGATGCAATTTGTATGTTGTCTAATCTTGGCAGATATGATTTAGTTTGTTAACATCGATCTAGCTAACTAAGTAGCTAGCTAGGGATCCAAAGGAAAGAATTAGGACGGCTTAACGGATGGAACGGCTTTACAATATTGAATATATATGAACTTTGGAAAAGATTTCAGCATCAAAATACAAGGATTACAGATAACAGATCACAGACTATAATGTCAGAATATTTTTTTCTAATTAAGCTATATATTTATATATATTGAAACCATTAGCTACCATAATGACTCCATATGGTCCTCACAATATTATAAGAACATATTTATGATTAAGTTTTCTGATGCCATCAACATGAATTATAAAACAATCTGTGGCCATGTGCCCTTCCATAATTACAAGAATTCGCATAAACCGCTTCTTCCCCCTTCTTTATAATGTTGTCTGCAAATAATTTAAGCCCAGTTCATCATCTCTGCTTTAACCCAGGTTTTCATTTGGTTGATTTTGGACTACAAGTCACGTAAATTAAGTAGCTACTTTGGATCGTATGAAATCCACTCAAGCCCTAGTGTTTGGAAAAATAATATTAGTTATTTAAGGGGATCTGTGGTATTTTATGTCTTAAAATTTTCTTGTAAGTGAATATTTGTATTCCTTACTTATTGAGATTAGCGTTGGCTCTTGTTTTTAATAGGGTGGTTTGTAACTCAGTTAGATGTAAGTCTGATAAGATGTTGCCTCTTTGAGTTTTGCATCTTCTTAGACTTTTTGTAGCGTTTTTTTGTTCTTCAGTTAATTGATTAATATATCGTAGTTTTGTAATTCGTTTGTTGGTTTATTTTGCACTATTCAGATTTTCAACACTAAATTATCTAGTTGTTTTAGAATCTGAAAAGTCACTATCATCTGCATGAAGATAAATTGAACTATCTCAGTCACACAAACACACAACCTAGGTTCATAAGTAGGTTTAATTACAGTTACTCAAGTGGTCCCTTAACTTGATAGCTAGCGAACTTTCTATTAAGCTCGAAGGAAATAATTTTATCAGAAACAAAAACAAATAAATTAGATAATGTTGGGCAAAGAAACTCAACTAGCTAGCAAGGCCACATGGTATGGGTCACAGTGTACATATATAAGTCAATCAAAGTACAATTGGCATCCACAATGTTCCCCCTATCTTCTTCTTGTGGTCACATCCCTATAAGATTTCTGTGGTATTCCAATTCCATTGATAATGTAGGACCTAATTAAAAACTTCCAATGACCTGTAGATCATGTTGTGCAAATTTGCAATGTCTGACGATATAATGAAACCCTTTTGACTAAACCCTAATATAATGCCTGTCTCAACCCGACCAATTCTCATGGAGAAGATCTTACCAAAGATTTGTGACTCAAATCTTGTTTCAGAATTTGTCGAGAGTCCAGACATCTTTTCAGGAATCAATCTCATCTTGCATGGATCTTCGTATATAGATCTTAATTAAGGGTGCAACGTTCTTTCACATTTGATATTCCGGTCTGCTGCATACATACATACATCTATATATATGTGTGTGTGTATTACGTGCAGGTCATTGGATTCTCGATGCTAAGAAATATATACATACATATATATATATATATGCATTAAAAATTAAACTATGAAAGCATTAATCTGGGGATGTGTGTTAGAGGAGAATATATATACGATATATGACAAAACTAACCCTAGTGATTGAATAAAACTTTGGTTAATCTTGTAGTGACATTGGAGAAGTGGATTGGAGCATTACATGTGAGGGAATATAAAAGATTGGATAAGATAAAAAGAAAAATAGGTCCAGCATTTTGATTGGACCAGACAATAAACAATTGAGGTATTATCCAATCAGATTTTTCCAGAAAACAAGACTGACTGAAGTCATATCCTGCCCTAGGTTCACTGAATCAGTAGAGTATATAGCAATGGAATGCATCAATGGATCACGTGGTTTTCATGTGCATTTGGTTTTCAGACCATATTTGTAGCCCTAGTTGGTTATTTTCTAGCTCAAGCAACAGATGTTGCGCTTTCAATTTGCTTGAGCTCAATAAAATCCGATATGTAAATCCCAAATTTACCACGTTAATAATGTAAAATTAGAAAATAAAAAATGTAATCCGTTTGAGAGGTGAAAAAAACTTATTCGTTTAGTGCCTTGAATGAGAGAGTTCGATAGTACTTGAGAAAGTATAAAATGCTCCTAAAGGAGGTAACTTACTTACTTTTCTTATAACCTCGACATGATCAACAATATTTGACAAATTCTTTTAAGAAAATAACAAAAAAGAGAAGCAACACAGAAGTGCATATGCATCATGCAAAATAACCCCTAAGAAGCACGAAACAACTCATAGAGAGAAACAAAGTACCAACTAAAACAAAAAAGCCAACCCACCTCGTACTTAAACCTATAAGATTTGACACAAATGAAATAAGTCAAAAGGAAGAAGACGAGGTGTGGCTGCGAGAGAATGAGGAATTAATGAATAAGAAGACATGGTGTTAGTGAAGGGAGGGAGTGAGGCATATAGCTAGTTCTTTGGATGTGTTTTATAGTGTTCTTACGGAGTAATTGGGTTTGTAAATCGATCGAATTTAATGAAGAAGGCAATCAAAATATGAAGCTTGTTGAGGCGATCGGTCTTTTGTAAATATGCAAATCGGTTTTAGAGTCGAACTGAGTTGAATATATGCAAATCGATTTCTCTATTGTTGTCAAAAGAAAATAAACAATAGTGGAGCTAGATATCGGCTCTTATGTTTTCTGGCCCACCTCAGTGTTTGAGAAATGAAAAACATAAATCATCTTGCAATTAGGATACGGTTTAGTAAATTCTTTCTTACTTGTAAGTGAAATGTTTCAACTTCAACTTATGATAAAATTTAGTATTTATATATAAACAATAAACAAGTAATATCTTGTGGAAATTCAGCCTAACTTGCAACTAACTTTCATTCTAATCCTAATTACATCTCCCTTAGTATGTACCACTAAACTAATACCGACAAAGCAACAAGTAATGTTTGACGATTTATGAGTTCATGTTTATAGTTAGGTCGCATGTTTACAGAAAAGAAAAGAAAAAGAAAAAAGTTGCATGATTTCATCTTTAACCGTTTAGACGTGTCGGGAGCGGAAAATGATGTGCGTGGTGGGGGCGGTGGTGCTGATTCAAAAGGGGTTAAAACAAAGAGAGAGAGAAAGAGAGAGAATGAAGTGGGAACAGACTGAGGTTGGCTTTATGTGTTCTGTCTAGCTCTGGTGGCTGTCAAAGATAAGCAACACCTCATCCTTTTTATGGATGGTCTCTTTCTCTCGCTTCTGCTTGCCTGGTTTCTCTCTACTTTCTACTTTCTGGGCTGATTTCAGCTTTTGCTAGCTGCTGCCTTCTCTCTCTCCGCCTAATTCTGATAAAGGATATACTCATATATCGTGCAGCCTCATTGCGTTTGTTTGTTTCTGCCACTGAATATTTGATTCCTTGTACTTTACCGACCACAACCCACTACTTCCCGCTCTCACGCTTCCTTCTTCTTCCTCTTCACACACTCTGATCCATTTGCTCATACCATCATTCAGTTTTTAGAAGTTGACAACTTTTTGCTCGTTTTGGTCCCCTTGATCTTCATTTCAGGTGGGTTTTCGGTGCTTTCTTGTTTAAATAAATTTATGCAAATTCAAAAATTAATATTGAGTTGTGCTTGTTTAGATTTCTTGCATTTAGTATATGTATCACAGCATAGGCGAAATGTTTACGAATTTTTAGTCGTTAAATCTTGGGCATTGAATCCTTCCCAGAAAACCACGTGGTCGCATGCTAGAAAATCTGCAGCATGAGTTGCTTGGGATGAAATTTCAGTTCTTTTTTTTTTTTTTTTTTTTTTGGTAAGCGACATGGTATATTCTGACCAATTCTGATCATCTTTATTTCAACCCCCCACACCCCCCCCCCCCCCCCCCCCAAACCACCCACACTTACTTGGTGGTGTTTGATGCTGATTCTTAAACACCCCAAAAATTGATGCTTTCTGTCTACTTTACAGGTGGTTTAATTCAACTAATACCACAGACATTGTTTGCTAATTGCCATTGCAGCAGGTGTTCTGATTTCAAAGAGGAAGGAACATTTTTTGGTGGTGGAATGTGGATTGTGGAGGTTTTGGGTTCTGAATAAAAGTATTGAGAAGGCAAATATCTGGAGTGAGAGAAGGATAAACAAATAAGGGCCAGGGGCGGTGGTGTCAGTTTTAAGCAAGTGGGGTTTTTTTTTTATTTAAAATTTCTTTGCTTCTGGATTTTTGAGAATTATATATGTTTTGGGATGGTCAGTTGGTAATGGCTAATGTCTCCTGAGCTGGCCCTGTTTCTCCGGAGTCATTGGGTCGTGTAACCATTTCAGGAAGCAACCCCTTCCCTTCTTTTCATTCAAGGGAAGTGAACATTTTGTGGGAAGGATTCGGTCACACTAGGTAGAACAACACCAGAGTTTTCCTAAGATCTGTTTTTTTTTTTTTTTTTTTTTCCCCCTTAAAATCCAAGGTCGTCAGTTGTTCAATCGCCACTTTCGGGGAGTTTCCCCTTGCTTTCGGGGGTATTTTGGTATCGAATTCGCAGTAGTGGTTGAATATTTGTAGCATTAGCAGGAATCAGGAATTGTGGAGGAGAGAAAACTAAGAAGTAGATCTCTTCCTTGCCAAAAATGAAGTTCATGAAACTTGGATCGAAACCGGATTTCTTTCAGACCGATGGAGACAATATAAGGTTAGTATCAGATCTTGCCACCTGAGTAACATGGTTTATTTTTCTTTAGTTTTTGCTGGAAAATGAATCGAAGTGTGCTATTAACCCGGTTGTTGGTATATTTAGCCCTCTGCCATAGTTTGTGAGATGTGTACCAATGTCCCTTCCTAAATTTAGATGTTTACTCTTAGTGGAGGCACAATGTAGTTGACCTCATTTACTCAACATGGATTAGGTAAAAGTTAGAACTTTCGGAATTTCTGAATAATCCTGTTTCACGTTTTAGACTCGCTCGCCTTTTCTGGTGTAGATTTGTTGTCTGTGTAGGTACATGAGGAACCAAGATTTAAGTTCTGCAAGGTCATTGAATGCGACTTTAGTGTTATCTTATGATTCAACGGTGTTACTGTATTTGAAGTTTTGATGATGGAAATGTTCGAACGTGATATCAGTTTAAATAAAATTGTAGAGCTATGTGAAATCTCACTGTTAAGGCAAAACCATTTCCTCCATGAAAGTTAATTATTCACTGTTCATGTTCAATAATGCTTTCTAAACTAAATTTTTAAAATTGTAGTCTTAAAAAGGTTATGGCCCGTGCTCTCTGTTAAACTTATAAGAAAATTTACATTTCATCGGGTGAACTTTCTGCTTAGCATTACTTGTGTAATTTCTGCTTCTTGTTATTTGTTTGCTCAGGTTATTCTAATTCAATTAAGTGCATATTTTGTCAAGTTTATGATTGACGCGTGACCCTTTGTGCATCCAGATATGTCGCAACTGAGTTGGCAACTGATGTAGCTGTTAATGTCGGAGATGTGACGTTTTATTTGCACAAGGTATGAAACCTGTTTGGTCTTAAACAGGATCCTACTTTTTGGTCGGTAGCTTGTTGTTTTCTAACATTATGGATTGATGGGGTAGACAGTAATGGCATCTGTTTGATTGCCATAACTACTTAACTAGCCAAACTTGCATTGAATTTAGACACATTGATGGTGTTTCGGGATACCAATAGTTCGTTAGTTAATTTGTTAGGCTCTTTAAGACATTAGTTATGATCCATTCTAATATAAAACATTAGTTATGATCCATTCTAATATATCTGTGATGCTTCTGTAGTTTCCTCTTCTGTCCAAGAGTGCACGCCTGCAGAAACTGGTCGCAACCACAAATGAAAACAGCGATGAAATCCACATCCATGATATTCCTGGCGGACCTGCTGCTTTTGAAATATGTGCCAAGTTCTGTTATGGCATGACTGTCACTCTCAATGCATACAATGTGGTTGCAACTCGATGCGCAGCAGAGTACCTGGAGATGTACGAAACTATTGATAAAGGAAACCTAGTCTACAAGGTTGAAGTGTTCCTAAACTCTAGCATCTTCCGGAGCTGGAAAGACTTGATTATTGTTCTTCAGACTACGAGGTCTCTTCTTCCATGGTCCGAGGAAGTTAAGGTGGTGAGCCACTGCCTCGATTCCATAGCTTCCAAGGCTACCATTGATACTTCAAAGGTGGAGTGGTCATATACATATAACCACAAAAAACTACCGTCTAATAATGGGGATGATTCACACTGGAATGGTGTGGCAAAACAACAGATGGTTCCAAAAGACTGGTGGGTGGAAGACCTCTGTGGGCTTCAACTTGATTTATACAAGCGGGTGATAACAATAATTAAGACCAAAGGAAGAATGTCTGGTGATGTAATAGGGGAAGCCTTAAAGGCATATACCACCAGAAGGTTGTCAGGTTTTAGCAAGGGTATGATTCAGGGGGATGTCCTAAAGAATAAATCATTGGTGGAGACTGTAATCCACTTACTTCCTGCAGGCAGTGTTCCTTGCAGTTTCTTACTTAAATTGTTAAAAGCAGCAAGACTGTTGGAATGTGGAGAGGTCGAAATATGTGAGTTAATTCGCAAAATTGGCCAGCAGCTTGACGAGGCTACAGTTTCTGATCTTTTGATTCAAGCCCCAACCGATGAAGCAATAAAATATGAAGTTGATATAGTGCAGAGCTTAATTGAAGAGTTTGTGACACACGATCGAAGTGCTCAGACTGATCCTTCAATGGAAAGTGAATTCCAGGAGATTAGAAGTCCCAGGTTATCGGATTCTTCCAAGGTGAAGGTGGCAAAGCTGGTTGACGGCTATCTTACTGAGATTTCACGTGATCCCAACTTACCCGTGTCAAAGTTTGTCCATCTTGCTGAAATGGTATCAAGCTTCTCGAGACCAACTCATGATGGTCTTTACCGTGCCATTGACATGTATCTAAAGGTTAGTTCATGATACTCTTCCCTCCCCCCCATTTCATTTTTTGGGTTGTTGAGGCTTCAGTGTACCTTTGTTCCAATGAAACCTGCACAACTACCATAATCATTAATCACTTGAATTTCTAAACATAATTTCAAGTCTAAATGTGAGACTCACATAAAAGCTAACAGTAGGGAGCTTTCTCAGTTTTGAAATGTAACTGATCCATTGCGTGTTGATGCAGGAACACCCGGGGATCAGCAAGGGTGAGAGGAAGAGAATGTGCAAATTAATGGACTGCAGGAAGTTGTCAGTAGATGCCTGCATGCACGCTGTGCAAAATGAGCGGCTGCCCTTAAGAGTTGTTGTGCAGGTCCTTTTCTTTGAACAGATTAGGGCTTCGGCATCCGGTGGCAACAGTACACCTGATCTACAAGGCTCCATCAGGGCCTTGCTCCCTGGTGGGTCTCATGGGAGCTCAAGGTCTACAACCAACACAGAAGACGACTGGGATGCTGTGCCAACAGCAGAAGAAATCAAGGGTTTAAAATGTGAGATTTCTTCTCTAAGGTTAGGCGAAGTGAATGGAGGAGTTGGAGTTGGAAGTGATAGAAATGGGAACCCCGGTGCTTCAAAAAATCTTGATAAAGTTCCATCCGGTAAAGTGAAAGGTATGTTCATCTCGAAAAAGATATTTTCTAAGCTGTGGTCAAGCAAAGAAAGGAGTGGTGAAATCAGTAGTTCTAATACATCAGAGAGCCCTGGTTCTTCTAGCAATGCAGAAGAAACAAAATTCACCCGTTCGAGGAGTAGGAGGAATTCGGTATCTTAGTTACAGGCATGCTTAGTAGATTAAAAGTATACACTGTTGACTTGTAAAACCGCCTCGCGTATCTGACATCAGGAGAATAGAATCAACTGACATGTTTTAGCTGTTTTTCCACTGCGATTTTGAGCCAAAGAGGTCGTGTTGTTGGAGAAGAAAGGAGATTTGGTATTTCATTTCTTGTAAGAAGAGCTCATGATCACATTTATGTTCCCAGACTACCTGTTGGTTTTCAGTTCTAACAGCTAAGTAGAAGTTTCTTCTTGTAATTGCCTATCTATCTTCCTTGGGCTTTAATTTACTCTAGTGCAAAATTGGCAATTGTCATCTGCTCTTCTAGTCTAAGCAGAGCAACTGCTGCAATATCAGGTGATCTTCAGGCAAGACTATGTCCTATATATGCATCCAAGTGTCATACCGTCCAGTAATCTCACCATATAGAGAAAATTTATGCTACAACCGGGCGTAAATTCTTGTGTCTAGTCACATGATAACCGCGGTAGAGACAAACGAATATATCTCCGGTGATAAAGCACTGTGAGTCTAAACCATTCATGAAATCATTATTTAGGCAACAATATTCTACATAAGGGGAAGGAAGATAGAGCCACACAATACGCAAGTCATTAACTAGGTATCGAACTCGATACAAATATAGTTCTAGTTAGTAACTCGTCAATGGATTAGACGCAGAGTCTGGCAAATTGTGACATTGTCAAACTAATCTTTTCCAGAGAATGTTATCCTATGTTGCTTGTGACCCAAAACTTCATACATGCTTCTTCCCATTGTTTAATGTCTATGCTAATCATGGAACTTTTCTTTTTCAATCCTCGTTGAGGGGCCAAGACCAAGATGGTACCTTTTTCGTTTGGTAAACATCTCAACCCTTTTTTTCAATTCTCCTTTTTGCCTTCGTTTTTGGTATAAATTATAATTTGGTTTTGTGTTGAATTGTTGGGGGCTCTGGAAGGTTGATCAGTGTAATCTAACGGCTCTTATTCACATGTGCGCATGGTGTCTTGGAAATCAAATCCTTGCCTTCCACTTCTAAGGCTCTTAAACGAACGGATGTGATGGGTGTTAAACCCCCCTGCACAGCACGTGCTCAGGGGAGAAATTCTGCTACAACCAAAAGCGCACTATGGCAACGAGAAAAACGTTTTCCATTTTTCAACCTAAATTGGCCACACTCAGTCCAATATCAGTCTATCAAATGTTGTGAAAGGCTGAAAACCTACTTTGTTGAATGTTTGACCTGGTATTTAAAGGCCTTATCCAAAAAGATCGCCATAGACTAGTTTTTATTTCTATTTTCTTAAATTTTTGTTTATATACAAGTGATATTGGACGAAGAATCAAACTCAAAACTTTGACAGTGTAACAAATTGTCGATGGTGGGAAGAAGAAAGCTCATCGGTGGTGCAAGAAACTGTCGGTGGCGGTGGGTGGTGTGACTGTCTAGTGGGTTGGAGATTGCTGCAACACTAGAAGCGGAATGCTCTCTATAATCGTTTTACACTGACAAAATAGGAAGTTGGAATACTCTAAACTATAATATTCTATATGGTGGGTGATTCAGCTAAATATAAGGAGATGAACACACGGTTCTGGCCAACTAGCCTAACTTATATATGTTTCATTACTAATCAACCAGTTTAACATAAAAATAATGTTCTCTTATCAAATATATTACACGTGATAACGACAAATTGTTACCTTAAATCATATACCTTCAAAAAGTGATTTGTTGATGGTGTTGACAACCTTGAAGCAACAAGCCGAGAACCACTCGTACCTATGGGTTATGAATGAAGAATAGTTAATGGGGAAGCACATCAACTAGCACGGAATGGGGTGGCTTAGGATCATGCGTTTCTATAGTTTGAAGAACCTTCTGACATGCTTGTTGATCTGTTGTTAGAGGATTGTGTAGTTATGTAACATTACTGCTGCATGCATGACATATTTTTTCTTCAACCAGATTGAAATTTCTGATAATTGTTTAACGAGTAATGATAGGAAAACTAAATTTGTAGACAAAGTGCGCAAAGTAAATGATGTGTCACCAATAGGAAATGAGCACGTTTATCAACTGTTTAATTAATAAACCAATCATCAACTTCCACATCATTTAGTTTATAAAATTTTATCTATAAATTTAGTCTCCATAGCATTCTTCTTTTTTTAACAAGGCCACCCTATCTTATTTTGTAGCCATTTAATGAATATCCTATTTACTTTAAAAAAATTATACTTCAATAAGAATATTTAATCTGATAAAATAAGTTAAACTTTTAATATAAAAACAATGCATATTAGATTAGATGGTCAAAGAGAATTCCCTAAACATAAGAATTCAAATATTTTCTTATGGTTTGGAAGGAGTTAGGCAAGCAATTAGTCAATGTGGGTTTTTATCATCTCCCTTAATTTTTGTGGGATTCGATCGAAAGAGAAAAAGCAATTAGTCCATTGAAACTTAAACAAAGGGGAAGACCTCAAAAGAAGATGCTCTCTACAAAACTCACATCACACCACAAAACACCACCACTTAAGCAAAAAAGGCTTTAATTTAGCCGTTCGGCCATTGACTTGCCAAGAAGACCAGCAAAAGATAAGGCCGACCAAACTTTTTTTACCACAACTCCACCAAAAAAAATTAGGGGCAGTGTCAACCCAAATAATGAAATTGACAAAATCCCTTTCCTTTTGAACATCTTTTCCTACTCAACTTAAAAAAGACAGGACTTGGATAGTGAGTTTCCACACTTGCTAAGCTAGATATCTTAATATATTATATGCAAATAGGTTTGGTTTACCATATATTAATGAAAACGACCCTGGTAATTAGAAGTTGCCTTACATTTTTCAACCCAACTTGCCTAATTCTTTTTATAGTGCTCCTTGTTAATCCTAAAATAATCGGTCTTATGCCAAGATTACTGTTTTGTTGCTAAGTTGGATTACACGTGCTCATGAGCATCGTACACGTGGGAACTAACTAGGAATTTAGGATACGATACGAACTTTCTTACAATAATCTATCTTTGTTGGGTACATGTAAGTATGGAGATGCTTAAATTCAGGGTTGGTTCTTCGTTTATGACCATTTATTTTCAACTGAATCATGATTAGGTTTTGATTGGCCGTCAGCTAAGATGGATGGAAACATTTCTCAGGATTACCCAGGATACTTTTGAAGACCAATGCATCAACAGAGATCACGTACAGTACCAGTTCACTTTGGACTTTGTGTGTGTGTGTGTGTGTGTGAGAGAGAGAGAGAGAGAGAGAGAGGGGAAAATATGAAGAGAAGATCTCCCTATGTTTGTCCATCTATGTATTCACAATCTTCCTTGAATCCCACTTGAAAAAGATGTTGCAATAAATAAAATAAGGGTAAAATAGTTGGTTAATTTGAAATATATAGTTAATAACTTTCTCTTATTCATCAAGATATTCTTTAAAAAAAGACAACAATACATAAGAGATGTGTACAACACATGAACTTTATTACAAGAACACAACCCGGAAAAGCAAATCAACGATATTCATTAAAGATTAATATATGTACTAAAAATTTCAAAGTGTTTAATCCTACCACTTTTAATCGTTTGGTACACATAATTGCATTGAAATGGATCACAAATTTAAAGATGTTAAAGGGAGAATAACATACGAAATTATGGCCACCTAAAGGATAGAAGGTGAGTTGCGCATGAAGAAAACTTATCGATTCTAATTCTCTTTGAAATGTGTTGACAAAAAAAAAAAAAAACAACTCCTTAAAATGATAAGATTAGAAGAGATGAAATTTTTTTTCATAGCCAATTCTCTTTTAATTCTCTCTAAATAAAAAAAACCGTTACTTCCATATTAAGTATGCCCTGAAATTTGAGAATTCTCTATTTCAGTTCAATCATGTTGTTTGAACTCAATATTATGTAATTGGATCGTGCAATCGAGGTCGTTGGATCGAATATAATGATGAATATTAATTGAGGGAAATTCAAATTTTTATCTTGGATGAATTATCATGATGATATTGTGGAATTATCTTTTGCGTAACGGACGAGTAGGAAGAGTCCAATGGTGCAAGGAATTTATGTGTGTTGTTGCCATGTATTTTGATGTTATTTTCAGACAAAAGGAAGATAAGTACGTAATCAGATGTCAACAAGTATCTATACAATTTATTTGCGACAGAAGTTTTACTCTGCATGAGGTTGGTTGGGTGTATATGGATATGCAAACAGGGAGAACATAGGCTTTAGGTTGGGATCAGCCAAAGAACTAGCACGAAGATGAGACAAAAGATGGTCATCTTTGGCTGGTAAAAGATGGGATTAGCATGTACACATTTGTCACGTGGTCTTGGCTAAAATACATGGCTAGCATCCGATGATGTTTCTAGGCTTCTCATAAGATAATCATTACCTTCAAATAAAGATCAGGATCAAGGTGGGATAGTCACCATCAAATGGTTATAATTATTTGCGAGGATTCGTGAAATTAGGATGGGATGAAGCTCCAGATTGTTTCTACGCGGAACTAAAATTGTTTCTACAACTTACCATCCAAGGCAAAGCATGTCTATATAAATACAAGTGATTTTACAATGTAGAAAGGATCTTCAACTCAACATACAAATGCTCTATACGGAATCTTCTTAAATTTGATAAGACACTAACCGGTTCACTAACTCCTTTGTCTATACACATTCAGTTCAGTTGAACATCACTAGGTTCGCTAACCGACAACATATTAGTTCGGTTGAACATCACTTGAGCCCTATAATCAGTCGATCTAGGAGTACCTTTAGTTTGGTTAAACAACACTAACATTTCGATTAGTTATCTATCCTAAGTCTTAGCCGGTGAAAAGCCTACAGATACTTTCGCTAAAAGAGGTCACCTCATCAGCTTTCCCAGTGAAGTAAGGTGTACCATGATTAGTTACTCACAAGTGCATTACAGATTTTGGTGATGACGATTTCATATTATATATTTTACCATATTCTTAGTATATTTTGGTTATTATTTTGGTGAGATTTTAATACTTTGTTTTATATTTCAAATGTAGGACATGTGACTTTATTATATGCAAAAAGTGGTGAAATGATGGAGTTTTGGAGAATCTCTAGTTGGAGTAGTTAAAGGACCAGCGCTCAATGTTGGCAGATTGACCTATTGGACTTATTGTGACTTTTGAGCATGAATATGACGTTCTCTGGAGTTGGACCCTTCTACGAAGTTGTAGAGGACGCCCTGATCTTTAAAAATAAAATCTTTTGAGCCAGATTTGGTGTTGGTTTGGTCCAAAAACG